AGAGCCAGTTTTTCCAGCACCTTTTGTTAAAGAGGCTATCTTTCTTCCAGTGAGTATGTTTGGCCCCTTTGTCAAAGATAAAGTGGCTGAGTGTGTTCGTAGGCACTTCAGCGTCTTCTAATCTATTCCATTGATCCTCAGCTCTATTTTGATGCCAGTACCATGCTGATTTTATTGCAGTAGCCTTGTAGTATAATTTCAAGTCAGGAATTGTAATGCCTCCTGCCTTGTGTTTATTGCCCAGAATTGCCTTTGCTATTCTAGGTCTTTTTTGGTTCCAGATCAATTTTAGGAATGATTTCTCTATGTCTGTGAGGTATGTCGGTGGTAGTCTGATAGGGATTGCATTACATCTGTACAGCAATTTTGGGAGTATCCGTTTTTATTTTATTTATTTATTTATTTTGTATTTTTATTTTTATTCTTTTTGATACAAGGTCTCACTATGCAGCTCAGACTTGTAGTGATCATCTTGTCTCAGCCTCCCCAGATCTCGGATTATAGGCGTGCACCACCATACCTGGTTTTGGGGCCGACAGAGAGTGTCCGGGTTTTGGTGCAGTGTAGTATGTGGTGCTGGGGATTGAACTCAGGACCTTGCACTTGCAAGAGGTAACTGTGAACAGTGAAGAAATACATGAATATCTTAGTGTCTTGGAGCTGTCATTTTACTTGGAGAGGTGTACAATAAATAACAGTGTGATAAACAGCTGGGCAAATTAGCAAGTTGTTAGAAGATGAGAAGTACTGTGTAGAGTACAAAAAGAGGAGGCAGGTGAATACTGCTGAGTGTTGAGTCCCATTTTGGTATTTTATAAGAAAATAAGGTAGCCCTTATTACTGATATGGTAAAAGGAAAATTTATGAAAATAGTTAACGTTAATGTTTTTCTTCTTACAGCTGGAACAGTCAAATGATTTCAGTTCGTGAAGCCAAAGCCATTCCAAGGCCTGATGGTATTGAGTGGAGAAATAAATACATCTGTGTAGAAGGTAGCTCCCCATGACTACTCTTCACCATTCATTTAGCCTCATGGTACTGAGAGGATTACCTGACTACTTACAGCTTGTATGTCAGTGAAAAAAATGATACATTTATGTTTTGAAGTGCTTTAAGAGTCTTAATTTTAATTTAAAACATGATTTTAGGGGCCAGGGAGATGGCTCAGTAGAATAAGTGCTTCCCTGGCCAGCACAAAGGCCTGAGTTCAATCCCTGGTTCTGTAAAAAACCCAAGAAAACATGATTTTAAGTTCTGTAGTTGCATTTATTTTTTCTAGCTGGTAAGATTCATCAGCTTTTATGCATTCTATGTTTATTCTTAATCTCATGCTTCACAGCTGTAAGGAAATATAGGCTTTACATGGTGCATTTTGTATTGAAATAAAATAACTTATTATTTTATACTAAAAATACTGTTATGTAGTACAAGCTATGTTTTTATGAGCATTATTTATTCATTTATATTTTTTTTTGGTGGGGGGAACCTGCAGTAGAACTCAGGACCTTGTGTTTGCTAGGTAGGTGTCATGCCACAGAGATATACCTCCAGCTTTTTAAAAATGGTAATTTTTAAATGATAATTTGGTTCTCTAAAATTAATTTGCATGTAGTTGAAAATATGTTAGATACATTTTGTTTGACTTAATGGGAAACTGACTTCAGCAGACAAAATGGAGAGCTGTTACCTAGCATGCATGAAGCTCTGGGTTGGATCATCAGCACTTTCCCCTAAAAAGAAAACAAGTGGCTCTCATAAATCTAGTAAAGATACTAGGGTAAACCATATGAAATTATTGTTTTAATATGTCAAAAGTGATCATATATTAACAACTTTATGCACTTTAGCCTAATTAAAAAATGATGGGAAGGCAGGCGAACTAGCTCATCAGACTAAACGCCTCGTTTGGCAAGTGCAGGAACCAGGGTTCAATCCCAGGTCCCGCATGCTGTGCCAGTCCTGCCCCTGGGGCACGCTGAATTGGTGATTGAGTCCAGGTGTGGTGGCGCATGCCTGTAATCCTAGCGCTGGGGAGGCTGAAGAGAATCACTTTGAGTCTGAGCTGTGTAGTGCGACCCTGTACCAAATACATTTAAAAAAAAAAAAAAAAAAGAAAGAAAAAAACGATGGGGATATAGCTTAGTTAGGTGGAGTGCTTACCTAGTATTAACATGTGCAAGACCCCAGGTTTTATTTTGGCATCTCAAAGAAAATGCTCATTTTAATTATTTCTTCATATGTACATTTAATATTGCAGAACCTTTTGATGGAACAAATACAGCCAGAGCGGTGCATGAAAAGCAGAAATTTGATATGATCAAGGATCAATTTTTAAAGGTAAACAGTGCATCAGATTAATTTTAGAAAAATTAGTAAACTAGTGTGCTTTGAAAAAAGGGGAAGTTCAATCCCCGGTTCTGCCAAAAGAAAAAAGGGGAAGGGGCTGGATATGTAACTGGTAGAATGCCTACCATGTGTAAGGCCCTGAGTTGGGAGGAAATAATTTTATGTAAGATGGTCTTAATCTCTAAGTTTTTAAGTCATTAATGTAACACAGTAGGAAATTCATGAACTGTACCTAAAGTTAGGTACAGTTTTCCTTTCATCAAGAACTAGCTCTTTTCATTCGTACCCTTTCACTTTTGTGGAAATAAAGATTTTTTATGGGGATTAAGAACTCCCAAAATGATTGAATAAAACCTAATGGACCTTTCTTTTCCTTCCTTTAAATATCATAAAATTTATTACAGTCTTGGAAGGAAGCTGAAGGTCTAATCCATGCTTTTCCTTCTCTATACTATACTGTCACAAGGAACTAGAGTGGTGTTTTATCCTGTATGATTTTGAAAAGCTAGAAATGTTTCTCTATGGTATGAACTTACTCTTCAGTGGTTTTTGTTACCTGGGGTCCCTATCTTCAGAGAATAGAAAAGTGTACTATGAAACAGAAAGGATTAGTTCATAGGAGAACAGGATCAGAGAACTGTGAGTTCATTTTAGAGGCATAGCTTTTCATTATATAGTCATACAAGTGGATTTTACTCTAAAACAGTTCAAAATGCAAGTGTAACAACTATTCATATTAGGCTTTTGGCACCTTGACTAATGATACACAACTGTAATCCCAACATTGTAGTAGTTCGAGGCAGGAGGATCGTAAGAAAATTCTGCCCGTGCAATTAGCAGCCCTGTCTCTAAGAAAGAAAGAAAGAAAGGCAAAAAGGCTTCTCACTTTGTCAACCAGAATAGAAAACTTTGATGTGCAAATAACAGTTTTTAAATAACATTTTCTTTTATGTTTTGAACTTTTCTTTCTCTCCTAGTCATTTCACAGATTGAAAAACAAAAGAGATTTGAACACTATACTACCTTTAAGAACTGCTATCCTGAAAAGATAACTGGCCTCTATTTCTTAAATTCTTCTGAGAAATAAAGAACAAGAGTTACATCATAATACATTTTGTTTACCTCCATCATGGTTTCTTTTTAATTGTTCTTATTTTCATGTTTTATTTTTAAAAGGTCATACTTATATAAAGATTGCATATTTTATTATATCGTTTCCTAATAAAATCTTTTGATTTAAAAATGTATTTTTGAAAATGTTTACATTGATGATTAGTAATATTATGGCACGAATTTTTAGGCAGTCAAATAAAATATATTTTGTGAAATTTCCTGAACCAGTTACAGATTTTTGATATAACTTTAACTGTATCACATGCTAATAATGGAGTTGTGTGGAATTTGGGGGAGGGTCTAATTCATCAAAGTTAAAATGTCACCTCTAATAGATGATTTGTTGTTTTAAGTCTGTTATAATGAAGTGAAGATTTGAGTTAGTTTTCAGTTACTTGAAGCAAAGTAAAATCTAGATTTCAGTGAAGTCACTGCAGAGTCCTGAAATACTGGACAGTTGCCCTGTCTTCACTTACCTCCTTGGGACAGACTGAGACCTTTGGTTGTGTCAGTGTAGCATTTCAGGAATACTTTCAGAGCTTCCAACGCACTCTTGAGATTGCTCTAAATTTTGTGTGGAAACAATGTGTTTTGCACGATAGTACAGTAATGTGAGCACTGACTTTTAAGGTAGTCATTGAATTGTTAGTTGGTTCAAAGACTTTGAAAAGATTGTCTCTTCTGTGCTTCATGATAGCATTAGTGCAATGTGCATTTTTGTTTTTCTGCTTTTATTTTTCCTATGACATGAAGCACAAAGTGAAACATTAAAGTTAAGATTGTATCTTAATTGTAGAATCAGGATTTTTTATGTGCGCTTATTGGCCCTAAATTGAATTTTTTAGGCAGTAAGCCACTACATTGTGTTTCAGGTAAGACAAAATTATATAAAAAAACAGCATAATGTTTATAAAATACCTTTTTTAGTATTTTCCATGTGAAGCAGTGGTGCCTGCTAAACAAAAACTAGTGTTAAAGTTGTTTTGACTTATGTAAATATTTGTATATTGATCAATGCCTGTAAATTTAAATATAAAAAATACTCTTGAAAACAGTTAACTTTTTCAAAAGGACTACAAACTTCTTTCAGACCTGCTATAGAACAGTTTGTACCTCTAATGAGTTAAATTTTTGCAGGCCAACCCAAAAGTTATGACCTGCTTTCATTTGACTTGTATGAGATACATATTTTCATTTTCTTAATCTTTAAATTTTTGTATGTCAAATAGAATAAAGTTTATATATGGAGATTGTTGAAGTGTTTCCCTTACAGTGAAAATGTTTGCTTCTGAAATAAGATTGAGGCTATAATTACCTAGAAATTATTTAAATCTGTTATGCTTCATTATTTAGGCTAAAACAGAGGGTCTGGGAATTAAGTTCACTTGTGGTCAAGTTAAATAGACACATCACTGCATTTCTTTGGCGTTCTTAGGAATGAAGATTTTCACATGGGTGAATTTTTAAAATTATATATAAAATCTTTGGATGCAGTTGAACTTTTTGTATGAATTTTTTCTTTTGGAAAACATCTCAGAATTTATTATGCATTATGGAACTCCTTACCGAAATGTATTGAGTATAACTGATACTCTAGTGATGAGCCTGGGTAATCATATGAATGATAGCCATAGTACCGTTTGGCAGTACTGTGCTGCTCTCAGGGATGGGTAACAGTGCAAGATGCTTTCCCCTTACAATATTCCATTTCTTAATAAAGCTCCCAAAGTGATCCCGCTATGGCCTTTGTCATTGCCCCTTGTCACAGCTTTCAGTGACCCCATGGTATTTAGCTTATTCTCTACAATGGGTGAATAAGTTGATCGACTTAATTTTAAACCAGTGGCTGGCCCAAAATTATGCACTTTGTGACTGTCCAAATATGTCTAAGTTGTTAATGTATGAGAAACTTGTTTAGGCTTTCTTCCCATCTTGTTACTTACTTGATGAATGCTAAATCATTTTATTTTCTGTTTGTATCAGTCTCTGCATTTCTATATATTTGTATGTGTTGTTGCTGTTAGAAAGTTAAAGATGTGCACTTAGAGGTGCAGTTGAAAATTTGGATTGGTTTGAACTAGGAACTTTGCAAATAAATCTTGTAGATGTTAATGTACCTAAGAGTTTGAGTTAAATGTAAGAAACATGATGGTGCCCTGTAGTTTGATTAGGGTTTAACAGATTCCCATAGCTAGGTTGGATCCTTTTTGTTCTGGGGGAACCATGGTCATTTGGGATTGCTATTAGAAAACCAAGCTAGTGTTACAAGAATGAATACTGCTGCTGTTTAACCTGAGTCAGTGAAACCTAGAAGGCTGGACTCTGCTTTTTGTGTTTCCTGTGATTTTGTATGGTACCCAAGCTGTCTGTACTGTGCTGTCCACAGACTTAGTGTATGCATACAAGCTAGGAAAATACCTTGCCTCCATTCAGCACATCTAGCAATGCTGTGAATAGTCCGTTATAATGAAAAAATAAATGCTGTTCTGGCTATGAAGTCATTCTCATGAAAAGAATGCTGCTGGAGGGCTTGCTGGTTAGCTCAGAGGGATTCCCAGGTCCACACGCTGCAACAGATTTGCCCTTAAGGCAGTCTGAGCTGGCCAAAAAAAATGCTGCTGCCCTGAGAAGATTCCTCTGCCTGCAGCACAACTCAGCAGGAAGTATTCACCACGTTCCTGCTATGTACTAGTTAACTTGGGTTTATATGGGCTTGGGATGGGTTAGAGTCTCCTGGGGAGACTTAAAGGGTAGGCTGATGTGGGACCTGGGAAAGGGAATACAGAACTCAACCCGTGGACTGTAGAGAAATGTGATCTTGAATGATGAGGAACCAGGTAAACAAGGATGAGAAAGCTTTTTAGGCAGAAGGAATTGAGAAGGTAATGGAATGACTTGATGCATTGCTGGGAGCCCTGACTGCTGAAGAGGAGACCCCATATGAAGGTTGTGGGCTGTTAGGGTTGAGGGTCATGAGCTTTAGTGGTTGAGCAGCAGGAAGCCAGTGAAGGGTGAAGGGAGCCATGCACGTGAGCAGTTCAGAGCCGAGCGTGGAGTTGGGCAGATGTGTGTTGTGAGGCCTTAGCTGCCAGAGCTCTGATCCCTGTGACAAGAGGCAGAGCAGCATGGGACAGTGTGCGCTCTGCAGAAAGGGAACCCTGGCAGGGACCAAGGTCGTCCCAGTAGCCCGGCAGGAAGACAGACGGTAGTGCTCCAGCCTTTCAAAGCCCTGTGCCCAGTAGGGAGGGGGACTGAGCTGCTGCCAGGCCAGCTTGCTGATGACACTTGACACCTTCTATTTTGAGCTTTTCCCCACTCCTCTAAGGCCACCTGCCCTGAGGGAACCCGAGCTGCTGGTCACTGTAGCACACAGTTGAGGGGGAACACCCGGCGGGCGCGGGTTAGGCCTGGTCAGCATGGACAGCTTGGGCAGCGCAGCGATGGAGGCACGGGCTGTGGAGTCGGAGGAGATGGTCGCGGAGGAGACTGAGGAGGAGGACGAGGAGGGAGAGGAGGAAGAGGAGCAGCAGAAGACTGAGACGGAGGCTGAGTCTGAGGCGGAGACTGATGCCAGGTGAGCCCAGCGCAACTACTCCCCTGCATTGTGCACCTCCAACCGGTGCTGCCCAGAGACCCAGACAGAGGTGGAGGCAAGGGAGGCCCCAGACAGAGCCTGTCACCTGACTCTGCCTTATGGCCGTTCTTAGAGATTGACTTGGGATCCTGCCCAGCTTCAGAACTGCTGGAATGCACCCATCTGTCCTGGCCCAGGATGCTTAGGAAGCCAGGACAGAAACAGGTCTGAGGACACAGGTGGAGGAGGTCTAGGACCCTCCAAGTGGGTGGCAGTGCCCTGGGCACCCAGCATTGGCTGAGTCTCCTGAAGTGCACTTAACTCATACATAGACCCATACTGTGTAAGTTCCAGTAACCTGTGTTCTTAAATTCCCATTGCTTCCAAATACCAACTTTTTAGTGAGTATGAGAAGGATCAATAGTGTGGTGCCTTTCTTCCCATTTTGATCTTCTTGTAGACCTTAAAATGAAAATAACAGAAATTATTTCTTTGTGGATTTTTTGTACTTTTGGCTTTTTAAAAACAGGATCTCACTATGTGGCTTAAACTGGCTTTGAAATCAGTGATCTTCGTGCTTCAGCTTCCTGAGTACAGGGCTTATAGGCATGCACCTCTGGGAAAGTTTTGAAGGTGCCAGATGGATTTAGGATATCCATTTTATCCAAAGTTAAGAATACTTTCCTGCCAAGGAAGGTGGAGCTAAAGTTGAAAAAAGTCACCTGTAGAAGAGTACTAGTCAGTCTGATGAGAGATCTTTGACATCACTCCCTGTTTACAAGCAATTCTGAAGCAGGAAACAGGAACCACCTCTGCCCTCAAAAACTGAGGGGAAGGTTAGAGGGAAAGATGGGAACATAGGACTGTGCTGAAGAGAGGATGGTGAGCCACACATGCTGGGCAAGGCAGGAGAGTAGACCTGTGAAGGAGTTGGGCCTTGGAAAATGAGCAGGTGCCTGCAGAGGGCAGAGGAGGAGGCACTGAGGAGCCTGGAGCAGGGAGAGGACCACTCACCTGAGCGTAGGTGAGGAAAGAGGTAGCATCTGCAGAACCTTTGTGGTCTCCAGTGCACCTGGGTGCTCACCCTCTTCTCAGCCAGGATTCCCCCTCAGGAGATTGAAAGCTCATTCTCACTAAAATGTGAGCAGCTGACAGTTTAAAATACCACTTCAGAGTCACATGGCCCTATGACAAAGGTGAGGACCTGCAGGTCAGGAAATTATTTATCTGTGGTCACTTGAGTGTCTCAAATAGACAGTGTCAGAATAAGAGTGGGGGACATGGAAGCAGGTGCTAAGGGAGGAGAATCTTTCAACTTGCCAGTTTTTTATTTAATTCAGGGGTAGCAAGGAGCCAGTAGAACTTTGGAACAGGATTTAGGAGTGAAGATGATGTCAGTAGAAAAGTAGGGTGACAGTTGGGGGAGTGGGGTTCTAGGACCCTTGGGGAGCCATAGAATGGTGCTGTCTGGGGTGGGTTGTAAAGGGACTTGGCTGGGGCTGCACATGGGCCAGGTCACAGTGTGGTGTGGTGTGATGAGCAATCAAACAACTGCCTTGAATGTGTGAAACTAGTGTTCTGAGTATCAAGTTGGATGAGAACTTTGAATCTTCCAAAGGACGGTTGACAAGAAGGGTGTGTTGCTGGTCTTCACTTCCTGGTCAGTGCTGCCCAGCTGCTTAACCTACACCACCCGCCCTCCCCCAGTAGTCTGTGCAGAGACTGTCCTGTTGGACATGAGGATGCTGGAGCGTTGTCTCATCTCCTGGGAACAAAAAAAAACGGAGAAGCCAGGTGTGGGGCCAGGTCTGCGGACTCTCATCACTCTCATCTTGCTGCAAGTGTAGTGGGACGGCTCTGCTGCTGCCCTGGGGGAGCTTTGTGAATATGGGAGAGGCCTCTACTGTGTCCTAGTGGACGCCCTCTTCCTCCTTAATGAGAGTTGTTTGCACTCTGCAGTGTCCAGAGACATCCTCAGAACCTGTGCTTACATATTTAGGTTTTTTGTTTTTTTTTAATAAGGGGTACATAATTAAAGTTGTATTTGAATCTATTGTTCTTTTATTGTTTGGTTATGAAAATTTGTTTCATTTTTCATTAAAAAGTTACGAAAATACTATTTTTGGAGCATTTAATGATATGTAAAATGCCTATATTGAATTTAAAGACATTTTATAGTATAGTATGACTGTAGAGTTAAAAAAAAAAGGTTAATAGTGGTTTAATTGCTGATTTAGAAAGTTTTATCTAAACCTCAATTTTCTACTATGAGTACTAACACATTTTGTTATCAGGGAAATTTAAAAACTATATGTGAATAAATCTTTACCTTTCCAGGTATAATATGTAGCTTCCTTTCTCTTTCTGACTTAGAAGGGGTGTTTCATTCATTAGTGGACCATTTGCGGGGTGCCCAGGATGAGGCACATGCTGGAGCTACATGAGGGAGGTACCAAAGTCCCTTGCTGTCCTTGAGATGTTCATCTCCTGAGTGGCGAAACGGAGAAACATGCTGACATGAACTGGTAGAAGAAATGGGAATAGAGTTTTGCCTCATAGGGATTATGAATTGGAATGCCAAATTACAAGATTATTTGTTAATGGCAGGTCTATAAAACCCCCAGGATATTAGAGCTAGCAGAGGCTTTAGAAACATCTATTTCTATAGTCCTTTTACAGATTCAGAAATTGTCAGGGCTGTTTTTTCAAAGTTACAGATCTTTTTAGTGGAAGAATTAAGACTACCTCTAAGGTAGGCAGATTCAATCTAATGTTCATTACTTTATTCATTTAATAGATATTTATTGAACTCTTCTGATGTCCTTCCTGGTACTTCCAAAGGAATTGGCAGTAGACATAAAGAACAAATTCCCTGCTTTCCTAATATACTTTCCCATTTGGGAAGACAAATAATTACACAATTAAATGTGGACTATATTGGGAGACCAGAAGTTGTATGAAGACGAGTACAGTGTGATACAAAGTGTGCGGTGTGGGTAGGGCATGAATACAGCCTCTCTGGTCATGTGCCATTTGAGTCCAGGTGAAGCAGTGCTTGTTCTAGGCCAGTGGTGATGAACATATGGGTGCACTGCTGCAGTGGGCTGATGTTACCACTGAAAATTCTAAGAAAAGTTTTGGCATTACTACTCCAGGCTATGGCAAGAACGGGTGTAAAGGCACTGAGACAGTAAGGTGTGGCTAGGTTTCCTGAGTGCTTGGCCACGAGGAGAGTGGGCAGAGGAGTCTTAAGAGGGAGCTGAGGTGCAGATCATGTAAGGCTTTGTAGGTCATAGTGACGACTTGGAGTTTTATTTTGAATAAAATTTGACCGCTATGTTCTGTTTGTTACAACACTGAGGATTAAAAATAAATTGGGGCTGTGGATATAGCTCAGCAGCATAAGTGCCTGCCTGACAAGCGTAAGGTCCTGAGTTTGATCCCTGGTACCACACACACACACACACACACACACACACACACAATCTTAGAAAAAAAGTGATTGCAGCATTTTTTTCTCTAATAAAAACCTGCACATTTATGTTTTCTGCCAATGGGGCTGGGTAGACACCTCAGTGGCTTAAGTGCCTGCCTGGTGAGTGCAAGGTCCTAAGTTCAATCCCCAGTACCAAAAATAGAAAAACAAATATATTTTCTGTCAGTGTCTCTTCACTAGACGTGTGCCATGTGCCAGTGCTGAATGTGCCAGACTCAGGTCTCCATGTGGGGAGAATGCCTAAATAGACACATTTGTTTGTGTTATGTTTTGATTTGAATCTTTCTGAGTGTAGACCAATGAAACCTAATTTTATTTAGCCTTTCCCACAGATCACTTAGAAACTTTTCCTCATTTTTGTTTTGAACTTATTTTTTGTATCTTAAATTCTCTATTTAAGCTCAGTTGAGTTTTGCAAAGCTGTACCCAAAACTTAAAAATCACTGTCAGCTGCTGCTTTGCAAATACCTATGTAAAATCTGTCTGAGCTGATGGAAGTAAAATTGTTCATGGCATTCATATTTAATCATTATAGGAAACAAACATTTGGGAGGCAAAGGGTGTACTGGCTTAGGTTATCAGTACAGAGCACTCCCTATCCATGTATCTATTTATAGGACATCTCTCCCTGATGTGTCTATCTAGGGCTTTTGACAAGTGTGTTATTTGAGCCTGGTCTTCTGGGGTCAGTGGGGAGAGGAGGGTTGGCTGACTACTTAGGATGCCAGGGTAAAGCTGAGAGGGTAAAGCAGAGGCACTTACAGCCAGAGACTGAAAAGCTATTTAAGTGATGGTTGCATGGATGTTGCATGTCCTTGGTAAGACTTTGATTCAATGTAGAAGAATAAAGCAAGAGTTGGAACTATTATTTTTTCTTTATTATAGTGAACCTAGTGAAATGTATGATACATGGACTGATCTAAAAAATAAAGTGTCTTATGTTCCTTGGCCATTCTGGGCACAGACTTCATGAGTGCCTTGTCTCTATTCAGATCTTAGAACCAAATTTCTGTTCTACCAAGAACCATAAAGAATCAGATATAAAAGATTAGATTTGTATATGAAAATAGTCCTTTGTTTAGCATTATCCAACAGAAATATAATGCCAACCATATATAATTTTAAGTATTTTGGTAGCCATTTAAGAAATTAAAGAGAGGACATTAATTTTTTTTAGCAATAAACACATTTTATTTTATTTTTTTCCCATAATTTTATTGATAAAAAAATAGCAATGAGACAGTTCAATTCAAATTGGTAGGACAGTTTCAATAATTAACACATTGCATGCATTCTTCCTAGTGGTTAATTGCTGTACAAGATGCGGACATGATATCCTATTTACAAA